TGCATTATCGGATGGCATTCCATCTACGTATCTAGCCTGGGTGCTGACAACATTTTTCTGTAGCTGGCAAGAAGAATTCTCTTCACAAATAACTTCCCGTATCACATCAGTCTTAAGCGGAGTTCGTGTAGTTCTCACTTGATGTTCAAAGCTGAAGAAAAACAATGACAGGCAACTCGGCGACGTCGACAGCAACCTATATTGAGGAGACCACAGACCAAGAAGGCGCCGGTTTTGCACAGACTTACCTGACACCCGGAGCCGGTGTGCTGTATGCTCTGCTGAACACAGTTCTGTCCGCCACCGCGTCACAGTTTATGTCCCTGGGTAGCCAGGCAGGCATACCTGGGCTGCAGCTGATGTTCCTCACCAAATTTGGGGAGACCCTCGCTGTTTTGCTTTTCCTGCCCTTCTTTAGACCAAAACTAACAACTGAAAACGGACGACAAACTCTACTCATGGTGCTGTCGACCATTACGGAGAACCTTGGAGCTATCTTCCAGTATATGTCCTTCGTCTTCGTTGTCCCTGGAATCGCCTTCGGCATCATAAAAGGATCAATGCCTTTGGCTTCGGCCTGTCTTAGCTTTTTGTTCTTGGAGGAAACTGTGGGCGTCGTGGATTGTTTCGGAATCGTTCTCAACGTAGCCGGTGTTGTAGTAGTCGCATATGGATTAATTACGGAGAACACTTCGTCCACGCAGCGTCTGACGGCGTCCATTCTCCTTCCCTTGGCAGCAACATTCGGTAGAGCTCCAAGTCTGGTCATCGCGCGGTCGCTTATCGGTGTACAGAAGGTCTCCGTTCTAACCGTTCTCTTCTACGCCAACCTGCCAGGAGCGGTCGTGCTACTCGGACTGACGTACTTGTTTGAGACCCCGATTTGGGCGATGTCGGCACAGACAGTGGGTTATGTTATCGGACTGTGCCTGTGTGTCTGCGGCTCGCATTTTGCTACAAAACTGTCCCTGAAGACGGAAAAGGCGGGGATCACTGCCACCATCAAGACTTTCACCATACCGCTCACAGTGCTGTTGGACTACGTCGTTCTATCGGAGTTGCCCAGTCCGCTTAAGTCTGGCGGTGTTGTACTCATAATGTTCGGTACCGGTGTAGTGACGGTGTATACATGGTGGAGGCATCGCAAAGAAACTCTTCACAAAAATTTCATGCAGAGCTTGGACTTTGATAAGTAAGGAAAACGTGTTATTGTATAATGTATGGAATATGGTGTACAGGGTACAATGTATGGATACAATTACTCTCCTAGACTTAATAACATTATGACATGTGCTAGACTAAATAAAATTATGACATATGGTCACTAGAATTCCACGATCTCATACCTTGTCCAACATTTGTCGTTAAGTTTTACTCCCGACGATTTATGAATGTTTCTCATGATTATGCAAATAAAGTCTTCGTTTTGTAGCATTTCCTAACCAATTATACAAATAAGGTCCTGATTAGCAGAAGTCATGTTAAATGGTGTTTACCTCTAATAAAAAGCTGTATACTTAACAGAAATATAGGACAAAGGCGTGTTTTGAGGCGATTTTTGTACGGGTATGTTTTTTTAAGCCAGCCAAATGGATACAGGTTTGTTCCTTCTTTTTCTTTGGGGGTTTGGTGACAAACATGGACGTGTTGATTATTCTCCTCTGGCGTTGCCCCAGATTTCCCTTTATTGTTTTGGTGGCAGAACACAGTATTAATGGGCGACCACCGGATTTATGACGCGGGTATACAAAGTAGTGCGGAACAAACTCTTTAATCCTGGCTAGAACGACTTATGTGAATGGTCTCCAATACTTTCGCCATCCAGTAAATACAGGCGGCCAAACTATCTGCTTGGAGATTAGCATATAGTGAGCTGAGAAAAGAGTCGTGCTACCGGGTCAACAACTAAACTGCCAACCAACCAGATTTCGACACATCTTGTGTCTTGTGATCAGGTCAGGGGACAGGCTTTTGCTAATTACTCAAATCAGATATAAACACGAAGCATTACTTAGGTAACCTTTTTTATTTATTAAAACACATAAAAGACAATATTAATACTTAGGTACCTGAAGACCAATGGCAGGACAGATACTCAACAAGTTGCCAAAGGCACTTTGTTGACATTACGAAAACACACAAAGTACAAAGCTTGTTCTTCGACAGAACTGTGCATTTCCAATTCCCCCCGAGGCAAGAATCATCTGTCTGGTCTGTGACGGATGAGGTTCGGAATGTTCGCAGTTCAGACAACTCACTTTCAGTACGAAACAGTAGAGAAGATCTCTTCGATCGACCAGGTAGGGAAATTCTTCCAGTTGGGATCACTCATCCTTTGTCAGTTCCGGCTTGAGCTCGAGTCGATAGTCCAATGCATTATCGGATGGCTTCCATGTACGTATCTAGCCTGGGCGCTGACAACATTTCCTGTAGCTGGCAAGAAGAATTCTCTTCGCTTAACACTTGTGTGATAGGAGAAGTTATTGGTGGAGTTCGTGTAGTTCTCACTTGATGTTCAAAGCTGAAGAAGAGCAACGACAGCTAAACTCGCGGACATGGCGACAGCAACCTATAACGAGGAGACCACAGACCGAGAAGGCGCCGGTTTTGCACAGACTTGCCTGACACCCGGAGCCGGTGTGCTGTATGCTCTGCTGCACACAGTTCTGTCCGCCACCGCGTCACAGTTTATGGCCCTGGGTAGCCAGGCGGGCATACCTGGGCTGCAGCTGATCTTCCTCATGAAATGTGGGGAGACCCTTGCTGCTTTGCTCTTCCTGCCCTTCTTTAGACCAAAACTGACAACTGAAAAAGGACGACAAACTCTACTCCTGGTGCTGTCGACTATTACTGAGAACGCTGGATCTGTCCTCCAGTTTATGTCCTTTGTCTTCCTTGTCCCTGGGATCGCCTTCGGCATCATAAAAGGATCATTGCCTTTGGCCACGGCCTGTATTGGATTTTTGTTCCTGAAGGAAACTGTGGGCGTCGTGGATTGTTTTGGAATCGTTCTCAACGTAGCCGGTGTTGTACTAGTCGCATATGGATTAATTATAGAGAACACTTCGTCCACGCAGCGTCTGACGGCGTCCATTCTCCTTCCCTTGGCAGCAACATTCGGTAGAGCTCCAAGTCTTGTCATCTCACGGTCGCTCATCGGTGTACAGAAGGTCTCCGTTCTAACCGTTCTCTTCTACGCCAACATGACAGGAGCGGTCGTGCTACTCGGACTGACGTACTTGTTTGAGACCCCGATTTGGGCGATGTCGGCACAGACGGTGGGTAATGTTGTCGGGCTGTGCCTGTGTGGCTGCGGCGCGCAATTTGCTACAAACCTGTCACTGAAGACGGAAAAGGCGGGGATCACTGCCACCATAAGGACTTTTACGAAGCAGGAACACTGTCAAAAATACAATATATATATTTAAAATACATATAATTGTAAAACATATATGTTTAATAAGAATATATATATACTTTTCAAAACAATATATGTATAGTAAATACATACAATTGTAAAACATATATGCTTAAGAAGAAAATATATATACATTTTTCAAAACAATATATATATCTTAAATACATATAATTCCAAAAAATATAGTGTTCACAAAAAGTGGTGTTCCCAAAACCCCTATCATATGAAAACATATATTGTTTACAAAAAGTGGTGTTTCCAAAACCCCTATCATATGAAAACATATTGTTCACAAAAAGTGGTGTTTCCAAAACCCCTATCATATGAAAACAGGAAGTGGTGTTCCCAAAACCCCTATCATATGAAACAGGAAGT